ATATATATATATATATATATATATATATATATATATATATATATATATATACTGTATATATATAAACTGGTTTTATTCAAGTAAAAAAAATAAAAAATTACCGAACGTACCCAAATACATTAATTTATAACAAAACTATTGTTTTATAGATGATGTGAGGTAGAAAGAGCTCTTTAAGGTAAGAATTGCAGGTTACCACTTTTTATAGTGTACCAATCCATAGCCACAGTGTTTTCAAGCAAATGCTACAAATGCCTTAACTGTAGTTTTCACTGCATATTAAAATGGGATAGGAGAAAATATTTTAACAGCAAGTAAATCAATTTACAATAATATATTAATATATTGAAAGAATAAATAAACAAAAGATTTAAAAAAAAAAAAACAGCCTGTCTTAATCAAACAGGTACTGTATTTTGCATAAACTTACAAATACAGAGAGCAAAATGGGAATTTTGATGATCCACCAATAGCCACTGTCCAGGTCATCCCAGCACCTACCAACACATAAAAACACTGTTGTTTATGATACATGCCTGCACATTTATACATTTTCTGTAACTGTTAGCTCCAGATCTCGTTACTGTGCTTCCCATATAGTAATTGTCCAAATGCACTCCGCAGAAATCTCATTCTCACCCATGATTATCATATTTATGTTTGAAGAATGTCCAGATTATTACTGTGACAGATGGTACCCCTGTAATACAGAGAAAACAATATATGGGCATTTAAGAATAAGTTATATAATCAGCAGTTTGTGTATAAAATATACTTGATTTAAATGTAAAATGTGGTTTTACCCCAGCCAATAAGAATATAGCACCAGAAAAATTTTCTTGTGTGGGTGAAGGTGAATGCTAGCAGTGTCTGAAGATAAAGTCCCTCAATGAGCAGCCAGTAGAAATTTGATAACACACAGTACTGGAAAAATGTCACCACAGCCTTGCACAAAACCTGGCAGATGAAATATAGCATTCAGTTACAAAGCGGCAGATGATTACTTTAAAATATATGATTCATGCTATGGCTTTTTTTTATGTTGATCTTATCAGTCATTTCTTTGGTGTAACGTACCGTGGAGACTGTGCAGTGATTGACAGTCTCATCCGCGAATAACACTGCATCCTTTACAAACACAGCCAAAGCCCTCAGGATGAATGAGGAGAAGAGGTTGAGGTGGATGTAGGTCCGTGTACACAGAAGCTTCCTGTGGGGTTAATGAAAATCTGGCAATATTATATGACATCAGCATTCATTGATGCAAATGTCAAAAAAAGGTCACCACAATTGAGTTCCTGCATGCATCATAACAGTGAATGAGTAAAGGCATTGAAGCAAGAAGTGAAAGCGGTACCTAAAGATGCAGAAGATGAAGACTGCAATGCAGAGAGAGCCAATGGACACGCCATACCCAACTGTGTATATCAACTTCACCCTTGCAAAGTACTCTCGCTGCCACAGTAAAATGGAAAATATCAAGTTTAGAAACCATTCGATTCATCTTGAGTCAATTTTATTCAATAAAATTAAAGGTGAAGTGTATGATTTTTTCATGAGTTGAATTCTTCCTGTAACATGATTGCTTTAAAGGGTTAGTTCACTCAAAAATGAAAATTAGGCTGTGTTTTACTCACCCCAGAGCCATCCTAGGTGTATATGACTTTCTTCTTTCAGACGAATCCAGTCGGAGTTATATAAAAAATTGTCCTGGCTATTCCAAGCTCTATCATTGCAGTCAGCGGGTGTTGAAGAGGTTCAGTCCAAAAGAAGTGAAATAAAAAGTGCCCATCTATAACAAATGTCTCACACAGCTCCAGGGGGTGAGCAAAGGCCTCCTGTAGCGAATCGATGCATTTTTGTAAGAAAAATATTTATATTCAAAACATAATAATCACTTTAATTTAGCTTGCGCCAACAGTTGTACACGGAAGCAGTTCTGGGCGAATGATGTATGAGTTCAGCGTTGCGCATGCGCCGGTGAGTCTCGTGAAAACCAATGTTTGTTAACAGGAGCAAAGGAAGCAAAGTTTTCTTACTTTAGCAAAGGAAAACCAGTCTCCTCTTGGCTTGTATAGAAATCCTCTGACATTCTTCTTTACAAATCCTCGTTTTGTACTTCTAATTAGTGACCGCTTTTTTTATGGATGGGCGCTTTTTATTTCACTTCTTTTGGACTGAAGCACTGCAACACCCGCTGACTGCAAGGATAGAGCTTGGAATAGCCAGGACAATTTTTAATCTAACTGGACTGGATTCGTCTGAAAGAAGAAAGTCATATACACCTAGGATACCTCGGGGGTGAGTAAAACACAGCCTAATTTTCATTTTTGGGTGAACTAACCCTTTAAGGTTTGAGTTTGAACATGGAGCACCATCTTTTGGTGTCAAATATTTGTTGTTTTAATTTCTATTTTAATATTAACAGATAATTAAATAAAGTTAAGTATAGGATATTCCAATTTGTCAATATGCCAAAACACTTTTGCCACAGGTTAAACACAAAACTTTTGACAATTGTGTAAAAAGTAAACAATGGACCCCAAAAAGTGTTTTGACGCAAATGCATTGCATAAAATTTTGTATGAATGTCGGTGCATCGGATAAAATATCAAAACATGTTGTAAAATATGAACCGAGAGGCATTTCTTACACCTCACTTTTTATTATTATTATTTTTAAAACCATTTGGACAAAGTGGAAGTTTCAGGAAACCTGTTTGATAACAGATCTTTTTACATTTGGTAACACTGGTGGTGCAAAAATGACACTCTTCACTTCTGACAGTACAATAACACTCTGCAAGAACCTAGAACCGATCCAGAAACACAGTAATCCATAACATTCAGTTAATTGCACATAATATCAAATATAGAGTTCTTCAAAGTTGTTTACTGTGTGTCCAGTCTCTTCCTGCTCTGTGCTGTTTTCCTGAAAGCAGGCATTGTAATAAGACACACTCAGCCTACTCCATCCCTCACTAGTGCAGGTGCGGGTGATCAGCTCTAAAGAAATCAATCAAAAACACTTATTTTACATTTATGACATACTGTTGCATTGCACTTTTATGGCCACGTTTGCAAAACGAGTAGGAATTATTATGTTACAATGGTGTTGCTGTTGAAGTTACCATGGGACTTGAGGAGAGGAGGTGGGCAAGACACTGAGACTCTCTCTCCTACACTGACCGCAGGCCAGCAGTTCACACCATCCCACTCAACCAGACAACCTGAAGACATCCACAGTGGTACAATTAAAGATTACAGAAGTCTACTTCTTCATCAAACTATCAATTACAATAAATTGACTCTTATCATCAGGCATGCCACCTTTATTTATATAGCACTTTATACAATAGAGATTATTTCAAAGCAGCATTACTGTATTTAACAAGGAAGTAACACAATCAGTGATGCATCAGATATATGACAAATCAAAATTCTGCTGTAAAGCCGCTATAAAAAGACAACAGTGTCATTATTCAGCTCGAGTCAAAAGTACATGTTTTCCTGTGAACTCCTGTAACTGTTAATGCTAATAAATTATGCATGTAGTCTTATAAACAATGTATGTCTTAACATATCTTATACAGTAGTTCCGTACAGATGTCGGATAATTAAAACAATAAATAAGTAAATTCTAATGAAAGTGAATGGACCATGACAGTAATTAATGGAGTAATTAATGATTAGAATTTTGGTCTGTTCTTAACTTTAAACATACTACTTTTATGGTATTTAAAAAAAATAATTATTATTTCATCGTCAGTAAACTATCCCTTTGACAATGCAGGTCACATTTTAGTCTTTTATAAGACTCAGTATTTAAATATGCCTATAAACGAGGACAATTTATGTCTTAGAGCTTTATATTTAGTCATTCCTATATTTGCATTTTATTTGCAAATTAAAGAGAGCGTTTAAAAATACAAATTCTGTAATCATTTACCCACCGTCATGTCATTCCAAACCTGTATGTCTATATGACTTTCTCTCTTCTGCTGATCACAGAAAATATATATTCTGTAGAATGTTGGTAACCAACCATTTTGGATACTACTGACTTCTATTGTATGAATAAAAAATAGAGACATTTCACAAATCATCTTCATGTTTCAAAGAAGAAGGAGAAACATACAAGCTTGGAATGACGTCAGTGTGAGTAAAAGGTGACAGAATTTTCATTTTTGGATAATCTATCCTTTTAAAGTATCACATTAAAGGTTCAAGATTATGGGTTGACATCTTGACGAAATGCAATTTCTCAGGTTTTGAGTAGCAGTTCTTATCTGTGACTAAGCTCACCTGTATTGGTAGCATTATAGTTGAACAAAGACTGTGTTAAACCAATTTGGAGCTGACATTCAGCTTCTTTTTCTTGTAGATGCAATACTATAGAACATTCAGGATGAACTGTCTTCATCTGAAAAACATGTAAGTGCATGCACACTCTAAGAACTTCCCAAGAAACATCAATCTTTTGAATAACCTTTTTTGCATATCTTATTTAATAGTTGCTTTTTCAATGAAAAAGGTACCAGAATCCAAAAACATGCACATAACCTACCCCTTCACATGTAACCATAAGAGTCCAGATGACGAAGCCATCAATAAGGTCCATGATGTTTCTTCTTACAGTTATGTGGTAAAGTCACAGGTGTAAATATTTCCCGGTCTAAAGCATATAGGTCAGTTATGTTGACCAACATAAAGTGTAGCTCTATTGCCTTTTGTTTTTGTCAGTACACAAATACCCCAGTGCTCATTCACAGTAATTCTCATCTATCTCTCCAACCGATTTAATGCAGCAGATGGTGAGATATTCCTGATGGTACAGCCCATTTTTCAGGGTGTGCAGGGCCCTTCTCACATCACGCCGGTAAATTGTCATTGTTACTGGTTTTAAACCAATTTTATAATAGTTTCCGAAATAAGGTTTCTTTACTTTATACAATAACAACATTGTGCATCTAAAAGAATCTTGATTTTGAAATGATGACCTACTGTATATTTGTTAATATCAAAAATGAGCAGTTTAAAAAAAAAAATTGGTATACCTTTGCATACAAGGCATTCATTCGTCTTCTACCTGCGTGCCTCATCACACTAGGGAGGTTAAATGAGTCTTTTATCCAGCACTATTTACTGCATGAGTGAACTTAAATCACTTTTTCTGAGTTAAAAGGATGACATTACTTCAGAGGTATGCAAATGATAAAGTCCCTCCAAACCATAGAATGTTTTTTTTTGATTCATTCGTCTTCTACCTGCGTGCCTCATCACACTAGGGAGGTTAAATGAGTCTTTTATCCAGCACTATTTACTGCATGAGTGAACTTAAATCACTTTTTCTGAGTTAAAAGGATGACATTACTTCAGAGGTATGCAAATGATAAAGTCCCTCCAAACCATAGAATGTTTTTTTTTGTAATTAAACAGATTTTGAAAAGACATTTATTATTTTAATGCAGCTTATTTTGTATTTTACAGGGTTTTGGAATTAGCCATTTATTTTTCCTGTAATTAAGAGGACAGTAGTAATGTTTGTTCTGTATGGTGCAGATGGAGCATGCCACACCGTCCATCCATTTTTAAAGCCTGTCCTTCCCCTGAGGAGCTGAGGTTGGTGCAGAGCGATACTTTCATACAATATTCAGAGGCGTTTGAAGGGATGAAAGTGAGAATTTGAAAATGACGAAATTAATGTGTGAATATAATAGAAACTACTGAGGCCACAATTTGTTTGAAGATATTTACTGACAGTGATTGATTAAGAGTCTAGGGGTTTCTTCAACTTCAGGCACTTTTATGTGCCACATGATGATTTTTATTAAAACTATCTGATGTTTTTGCTGTATAAACAATTACATTCAAATTTGTTTTACCTTTGTCCCTGATCCTTTCAGTCTTTGTATGACAAGCCATCATAGCAATACATTAAGAGACATACTCATAGTCCCAGTTCATTATATAAGTAAATAAATACATACAGTACATACATAGAAACATTTGCATCTTATCCTAAGGGTCTTATTTTATCTTTTTACTTCAAAATAAAACTATTTTTACTCTATCCTTCATTAACAAATAGACACAGAAAACGCTGATATTCAACATGATACAATGTCATAGATTACTATTTTCCAGAACACAGAGAACCTCAAAACTGTTTTGACTGAATAAGTCTCACAAATGTTGATATTTAGATGAAATGGCAAAATTAAAAATACCGTAGCCATTCATCAAAAGTGCTGAGATGAGATTTTGTGCCATCTATGGTCAAGAGAACAAAATCAAGAAGTGGTGTCATCTTGCTCCGGGGGGCATCTATTTAAATTTCTGTATTTTTGTGGTTTCGGTACAATTGGTGGGATGAACAGCACACAACCTGTTTGAACAGCATACTGTATCTCACTCTTGTGCATCAGCTGGGTTTCTACAGATGAGTTAGTAAACCTCTCGCATTATCAGCAAGCTAAATGATAAAGAGGGATCCTGTCCATAACATATATTCACATATGTTCCGGATGTTATGCTTTGTAGATTACTTTGTCTATGACTGTTTGTATGTTTTGTGATAGTTGTATGTGAATGCATTGTCCTGAGTAGGGACATCCCTAGTAAATGTCCTGCACGTTTGAGCTTTTCCCAACAGTGGCTATATGATGTGGAGCTCCTGCTTTTCACACTTATAGGACACAATTGAGGGATTCGTGCATATCTACTACAAGACGTGTAAACACTTATTGATGAAAAAGGCAATGTAATAAGCCATGAGGATATACACTTTTGAACTGAATGGTTTACAGAAGTTCAGCGTACTGTGTCACTATGGCATACGTTGGTATTGTCTGTCTGGTATTTCTGGCATTTTCCATGTAAATTGTTTTCAGGTGTGTCTTGTTTTGTTATATAGGTTCATTAGGGTTTCTCATTCCGGTTTTTCTAGGGGCTTTTTTGTGTAGAGTGTTTTTTCAAAGTATGTCAGTCAACAAATTAATGTCTGCAGGATTGATTCAATAAAACAGCCAGAAGCAAAGGCAGAAGCAGGAACTGAAGCCGCTGTCTTCTAGAACGGTCTTCTGGAGCTATACCATATCTTTGTGTTATAGGTGCAAGGTGCCAAGTTGTAGAAAATCTTTCCCCTCCATGACAGCAGTCACATTTTATTAAAAAGATCAACCTGGACTGACTTGAAACAAGAGTGAATCACATTTTGCATCTATTCCTCAGACAAAGCGATCATTTAACCTCTACACTCTAAAAAATGCTGGGTTGTTTCAACCCAACTTTGGGTCAAATATGGACTAACCCAACGAGGTATGCAAATGATAAAGTCCCTCCAAACCATAGAATGTTTTTTTTTGTAATTAAACAGATTTTGAAAAGACATTTATTATTTTAATGCAGCTTATTTTGTATTTTACAGGGTTTTGGAATTAGCCATTTATTTTTCCTGTAATTAAGAGGACAGTAGTAATGTTTGTTCTGTATGGTGCAGATGGAGCATGCCACACCGTCCATCCATTTTTAAAGCCTGTCCTTCCCCTGAGGAGCTGAGGTTGGTGCAGAGCGATACTTTCATACAATATTCAGAGGCGTTTGAAGGGATGAAAGTGAGAATTTGAAAATGACGAAATTAATGTGTGAATATAATAGAAACTACTGAGGCCACAATTTGTTTGAAGATATTTACTGACAGTGATTGATTAAGAGTCTAGGGGTTTCTTCAACTTCAGGCACTTTTATGTGCCACATGATGATTTTTATTAAAACTATCTGATGTTTTTGCTGTATAAACAATTACATTCAAATTTGTTTTACCTTTGTCCCTGATCCTTTCAGTCTTTGTATGACAAGCCATCATAGCAATACATTAAGAGACATACTCATAGTCCCAGTTCATTATATAAGTAAATAAATACATACAGTACATACATAGAAACATTTGCATCTTATCCTAAGGGTCTTATTTTATCTTTTTACTTCAAAATAAAACTATTTTTACTCTATCCTTCATTAACAAATAGACACAGAAAACGCTGATATTCAACATGATATAATGTCATAGATTACTATTTTCCAGAACACAGAGAACCTCAAAACTGTTTTGACTGAATAAGTCTCACAAATGTTGATATTTAGATGAAATGGCAAAATTAAAAATACCGTAGCCATTCATCAAAAGTGCTGAGATGAGATTTTGTGCCATCTATGGTCAAGAGAACAAAATCAAGAAGTGGTGTCATCTTGCTCCGGGGGGCATCTATTTAAATTTCTGTATTTTTGTGGTTTCGGTACAATTGGTGGGATGAACAGCACACAACCTGTTTGAACAGCATACTGTATCTCACTCTTGTGCATCAGCTGGGTTTCTACAGATGAGTTAGTAAACCTCTCGCATTATCAGCAAGCTAAATGATAAAGAGGGATCCTGTCCATAACATATATTCACATATGTTCCGGATGTTATGCTTTGTAGATTACTTTGTCTATGACTGTTTGTATGTTTTGTGATAGTTGTATGTGAATGCATTGTCCTGAGTAGGGACATCCCTAGTAAATGTCCTGCACGTTTGAGCTTTTCCCAACAGTGGCTATATGATGTGGAGCTCCTGCTTTTCACACTTATAGGACACAATTGAGGGATTCGTGCATATCTACTACAAGACGTGTAAACACTTATTGATGAAAAAGGCAATGTAATAAGCCATGAGGATATACACTTTTGAACTGAATGGTTTACAGAAGTTCAGCGTACTGTGTCACTATGGCATACGTTGGTATTGTCTGTCTGGTATTTCTGGCATTTTCCATGTAAATTGTTTTCAGGTGTGTCTTGTTTTGTTATATAGGTTCATTAGGGTTTCTCATTCCGGTTTTTCTAGGGGCTTTTTTGTGTAGAGTGTTTTTTCAAAGTATGTCAGTCAACAAATTAATGTCTGCAGGATTGATTCAATAAAACAGCCAGAAGCAAAGGCAGAAGCAGGAACTGAAGCCGCTGTCTTCTAGAACGGTCTTCTGGAGCTATACCATATCTTTGTGTTATAGGTGCAAGGTGCCAAGTTGTAGAAAATCTTTCCCCTCCATGACAGCAGTCACACTTTATTAAAAAGATCAACCTGGACTGACAAATTAACAATACACACTTTAAAAAAAACTGTAAATGTTCTGTGAAAGTTCCAAATATTATACTAGCTTTATAAATGTTTAAAAAAAAAAAAATCTTGGACATGTGAATGTTAGAAGAAAGGACAAGCACAAATTACAGACAACATTAAGGGAACATTAAGGTATTCTGTTTGATAGTTATATTTTAAGCTTCATATCACAGTGCTGGTGGAAAAGATTTTAAATATAACACTTCTATTGCTTAGAATAATCTACAAAATAATTTTAATCCAACCATACTTCCATCACTGATTGAGTTTAAGGTACTTTAAACAGATTCTGTGCTTTACCTCCAGGTAAATTGTTGTTGTGATTCATGATTGTGTTGTATTGTGTTTGATATTGTACATTTTGAATATTTATGTTATTTGTTGCTGCCCTCTTGGCCGGGTCACTGGTGTAAATGAGATTTTTAATCTCAATGAGCTTTCAAACAGGTTAAATAAAGAA